ATAATCATTCGACTTTCCTGATCGGCAAAAAGTCATATTGAAAAGTGTCTAATGCCGGAGTCGCTCAAACGTCGGTCGCTCAAATGTCGGGGTCGCTCAAGTGTCGGGCGCTCAAGTGTCGGGAGCTCAAGTGTCGTACGCTCAAATGTCGGGGTCGCTCAAATGTCGGGCGCTCAAATGTCGGGCGCTCAAATGTCGGGTGCTCAAATGTCGGCGCTCAAATGTCGGGCGCTCAAACGTCGGTTGACGATACTCGATAACCTAAGCATCATTGTTGCTTGGATTTTGCATAATTCATGAAAACATTCCAGGAACACCTAAAAAATCTGTATATCGTATCGTGTAGGAGATGTTTTACTACGACTTTATACTGATTCACCCAAGTACGATGAGGGCACACTTGAAAGCATATAAAGCATTCATAAACAAAAACTCGAAAAAAAATAAACTCTCGCTTAAAAAGTGAGTGATGTGCTCTTAAATGAACTGTGAAAGTATCAAACAGTGTGAAAAATTAACGTCGCCACCTAGCGATATGTACAGTCACCATGATGTGATTCAAACAGAAAGAGTTGAATGAAAAAGTATGGCAATAGAACTGTACTTCTCTCTTCAGTATTTAGTTAGTCGAATCAGTACGCAGATTAATGTGAAACAAACAATTCCAAACCACAAAGTACAGCTGAATTCTGCAAAATTTTCGAAACTTATTTTTTTCCCTTAACTAAACTCTATTTCGTTCTTTTATAGTACACTGAATTTGGTTAAGTTTTCTTGCTTATAGTCTTTCTCAATTTCTTTATCTTTCTGACATATAATGCATACATCGACGTTAGAAAAAGAATAAATTTGAAAATTGTTGCTTGATAGGATCCAATTTTATTTCTTGTAAAGAAAAAATTTTTTTAATAAAAATAAAATGCCATTTATAGAAAGAAGAATTGACATCGAGTTGTTTTTCTGTTTGATGGAAACGTATGTCTTGACTGCCACAAGGCAATTAAACATAATAATATACATTTATTCATCCATTCATTCACAGTTAAAATGCAAATAGAGACAAACGTTTATTTTTTTTGATAACAACAGCAATGAAATTTGATCCGACAAAATTGGCTAAGAATACTTCTGAGGAGTGAAGAGATACAAACAATAAACGATCTAACTCTAAACGGTAATTTAATGTGTATCGTTTATACTACAACTGTTAGAATTTCATTTGACACATAAAGCATACTGATTAGAGATCGAATTATTCAAAATTCGATTTGTTACATTCGAAATTTTTTTCATTGAAATCAATTTTGATGCAAACTCAAAAAGTTTTCTGCACTGACACAATACACTTAACATGATATGGATTACTAGTAATTTTATTTTCTGTCTTCCCTTTCTATTACATCTCTCTTCGTGTTAACAACTGCTTGAAGATAAACTTTTATATTTGTTTTTTTGTGTATTGACATATACGCCCTAACTTGTACGCCTCGAGGAAATCCGAAATCATAATTTTTTTTCTGATTCAATCGAACATTTTCTCTCTCATTCCCAATATTTAACAGATAATTCCAATTTTTAGTTTCTATTCATGTGAGTTGTTCTCTATTTTGTTTCAGCAGTTAGAAAATATCCATAAGCGATATACAATGTTTCCTATATATTCAATATTTTTTGTAATTGAGAAACTATTATGTGTAGACTCTGTGTTTATCATGCACCGATCCAGACTTAAGACGATTGAATTGTCATACTATGACACTCATTCGATCTACTCTATCTATTATTAGATCAAACTAAAGTCAAAAACTATAACAATTATGTAAAAGCTTCTTGTCTTTAATTATTACTCTAATAATTTAATAGAATATGCCAGAAAACGAGTCGGACTCCAAATCTCTGGTAAAAACATTTGTTTTATTATTTGCTCGTGATCGTCCAACATGTGACATATCTTATTTGACTGTACAACGAAATAATGAAAATTCAATTTATCCAATGTTATTAACGACTACATTTTATTTTATGAGAGATCTGGTAGATTACAGGTAAAAGTCATATTCTCTAAAACTAAATCTTCAAGATTTTTTTATTTTATTAATTTATTTGTACAGAGCAATATCATTAGATGATTCTGTCTATATTATTGGTGGTCGATATGCATCCACCGGTCGTTTAAGTTGTCAAATGTTTAAATATGATGCAGAAATTGATCATTGGCGTGCATGTGATACACTAAAAGCACCAAGATTCAATTTTGGTGTAACAACATTTGATCATAAAATTTATGTACTCGGTGGTGAAGGATTAAAAGAAACAATTATTCAAACAGTTGAATGCTATGATCCTGCAACAGATAGATGGAAAGAATTGGGCAATTTACCAAAACCAAGACGATATCATTCAACATGTGCTGTAGGAAAAAGATTATGGTCATGCGGTGGACAAAGTTCAATATTAGAAGCACAAACTACCAATGAACTTGTGTAAATTCATTGATTTTTGTTCTTTTATAATACAATATTTTAGTATGATCAAAATTATACATATTTTTAGGATACTTGATCCACGGCCAAGTGAATGGCGACGATCAATGATGAATTATACGTTACCTCAACCACGACAACAACATTGTCTAATTAATACTGATAATTCAGTAATCATATTGGGTGGTATGTCATTATTTACTAACAATTTTTTTTGTATTCATATAATGAAACTAGACGACAAAAATCACACTAGCGAGAGTTGCGAATACGATGCGAAGCAAGAACAAGAGAATGAAGGATACAGTAATAGAGAACTCAGTTTTTTTTGTTAAATTATGTACAGTATTATTCGCAGAAAAGAACTGAATAAAGTGTAGGTTAGTCATGTAAAAGAGTAATTGTGTTTTTCTGCTATTGATTCATTAAGCTTCAAAATATTTGTGGAGACGCTCAAGTATCTCTCTGTGAATAAAAGAAACAGGCTGAATTTTGGCATTATCATACATATTGTGTTATTATCTATAACACAGTAAAGCGTATAGTGCCTAGTCATTGCGTTAATTATTCGTTGAATGCGTTTAGAGCATGGTCATAAAGTGAATCACACAATATGCGGACACTCTGCTGTAAAAGTGCTAGTATGACTCAGATTAATTATCCGTTTTTTTTTTGAAAAACTACAGGTTCCAAACGTTTAAAACACCTTCTTTCAAGCCTTCTGGTTAATGACGGAATTAGGCACAAAGTCTCAAAAGAGGACATTTACTAATTCGGCCTCACAGCTCACTACTCCCGTTTAAAATCTTACGGTAGCCTCTCTGATTTACGAGAAAATCGTTACAGAAAATGACAGTTTTGTACTGTTGAAAGTAAACACGCGGTTTATTACTATAATGCGGTATGTTTGGCACCTCATTAATAATTTTATCTCATAGGATGTGAAAAATCAAATGACACAATTCAAAATATACAAACAATTTCTCAAGCTATTGATCAACGAAACAACGTTGAACCACAATGGAAAGAATTAAAATATCAATTGCAATATCCACGAATAGATTGCGGATATTTTCAATTAGGTAATTATTCAATCTAAACACTTATTATATTTTTGTTTTTTTCCTTATTTTATTATATCGTCTATTTTCTAGATAGATATTTGTATATAATCGGTGGTCATAATAGCGATAATCAAGAGTCAACAAAAATGATTGAACGTATTAATTTAGATAGTTTTCAAATTGAAGACGTATTTCAATTAGAAAAAGAATTGGCAACTGTTGACTGTTGTATAGTACAAACAAATAAATATAATAACAGTTTATTACCATTAGCCGAATATCTAGATAAATGGGTAGTATGGTAGAAGTATACACTTAATGAACATAATTCTTAGAACATAATTTGTCAATTTACATTATTATTGTATTTTTGATTTAACTTTATATCACGTGAATAAGATTTGTTTAAAAAATGTTTTCTGGCATAATAATAACAGAGAATAAAAAATATTTGTTATGTTTTGTGTATCACAGATATATATCAGATTTATATTTTTTTATACAAAAATAAAATTAAAACGTTGTTCATATCATTGGACTATCGTAAAAATGATTGTTGATTAAAGTTGTGATTTTTGAGGTTTAATATTGAATGCCAAGTGATGTGTCTTATGAGACTAAAAGAAAAAAAAGGACGAGAAAATAATAATTAAGAATTTTCATAACTCTATTGTATACCATTGATTCTTACCGTAGATATAATTTTATATAATTCTAATGATGCTGCTCGATAACTATTACGTCGAATGATGACAACACATGAATATAATCTTTAAGAAGAAGCATAGAGACACAATTTAACTAAATATTTATTAGATAGGAACTAAACTTACACAAAAAATAGAATAATTGGTACAACAACAACTGCTGATGATATTTTAAGAATAATATCGATTAAAACTTTATTTTTTAAATATGAAAGACCATTACGTAATGAATAGTAGATAAAATGATCATCACCATTAGTATACAAACGAAATGGACCACATCCTCGAGATGTACGTAAACTATAGAAATATTATATATTTTAAAATTTTACAAGGTTATACATTTTCTATTAGATCTACATACGATGTTGTTAAGAAAGTTATTGGTAACATGGCCCACATAAATGTGAACAATAAAACAGAAGTAAAAACATATTTAGCTCTTGCTGCACTCAATTCGAGTTCTGGAGGATCACGAAATAAATATAAATTCAACTAGAAAAAGTAGAGAATAGCTATTTTCATTGAACAATATATTTTTTTTATAAAATAAACAAGCTTACCATTTTAACGCTGAATATAATGATATTTTTTAATGCTGATATCAATGGTAAATATGGACAAAATAATAGACCATGCCTAAAATATGAACAGATTGTTAGAATTTATATGATTGTAAAGATCATATTACGAACCAGCATAATGTTTGAGTATATGTTAAATCTAATACATTATCTTCGACTTCAAATTTTTGTTTATCAAAAATGCTTGACTTTTGTTCTAAGTCTGTCTCAGTATTTTCAACCTTCGATTTCATACAACAACAAGTCAATAAACTAGAATTAGAAATAAAGTTTTCATTTTAATTTATTTTAGTTTTCATATAAATTCCCTAGTAAATGTACTTGGTACAACTACTTGATTATTTGATGAGTACTTAGGAAGTACGTGACAAGTTAAACATTTGGCAAGCACTTAAGCAGGAACTTGCCAAGCATCGTTACTTGACTTGCTTCAGTCAAGTACTTGGATAAGTTAGTCATTCTTTTCTTTTGCGTTGACTACTGGTATATAAACACCAGAATATCAATCGTTATACACTTATAAAATAGGTTATATATTTCTACTCAGTTGAACGAACTTAGTAGCTGTGCATGTATTTTCTCTAAAAAAGTAGAGTATAGTTTCAGAATATGTATAAAATACAAAATAAAAATAAATGGAACAAGTACTTGACTGAATTTTTTCAAGTAAATTTACTTGCATTGTCTCAGTCAAGTATTTTCTCAAGTACTTGACAAGTAAACTTACTTGAAAAAGCTTGTCCGCGTTGCTTCTGTGAAGCAAAAATGTGAAAACTTCCAAGTGAACTTCGTGCACCTAATAAGAATATATGTAATTGTAAACGCATTTTTAAGATGTTGTAAACAAAATGAAATTTTCAACTGTCCCAACTCGTATCTAAACTTTATACTTCAAACTTTCATTTTCTTCGGAAATCGGACATGTCCTTGGAAGTTTCCACAAAAGCCCATAAGTATTGTCCTCATTACTTAATCCAAGTACACTTGCGCAAATACTTGGCTCACGTACATTCACTAGAGAAGAATTAAGGACTATTCTTACTGTCGAAGAGGATCAACGATCAAGTGTATCACTAACATCACAAACGTATCCATGATAACTAAACGATAGAATATTTGACCAATTTGAGTCTCCCAACACTAAAACAGAAATGTACTTCGTCTAGAAACATGTGGGTATTTTCTTGATAACTTACATGCGTAAATGATTCTGTAATACTCCGACAATCGATTAGTTTTGATTGTAATGCACACGTATTTGAATTGCATGTAATTTGCAGGATAACAATAAAGATGAAAGCAGTTAAAAGTAGTAGTCGCATAAAAATCACTCTAAAAAAATAAAATATTTAACATCCATTAAAATACCATTATTTCCTCTCTACTTACATACCTTAGAAGATAATGTTGAATTTCTGTTGTTTTTGTATACAATCTGAGATCTCTCATGTAAGCAAAAATCATTCGCGATACTAAATTGATTAATGTGATCAATGTTGAAGGTAAATATTCCACGGCTAATTCACGCCAACGATCTCCATTCTTATTTCCCGATTCTTTTCTTGATTTTTCCTGTCGAAATCAAGATATAAAACATTAACAATAGTAGAATATTTTACTCTAATTACTCGAAATGTAAATTCATTTGCAAAATAAACGGATGTTATTGCTCCGGCAAATATAATCAGAGTTAATAACCATATACCAATGCGTTTTAATTGAAATACTATACGATGTTTGATTGCATCAAATTTAAATCGGTTTTTATCCTCACGTTCAGATGATATCTATAAGAACAGGATAATGAATCATAGTTCAAATTTCCATCCCCGTGCCATAGACACTTACATTTTTTATTTCTGTTTTAAATCTCAATTGTCGTCTCTCTTTTACCAAATTATCGCTAATCGCGAAATTCCATCGAGAAAATATATATTGAAATATGTCCATTTCAAATGAACTAGTTTGAACATAATTTGTTCGCATACCCTTACCATATCTTTCAATAGAGACAATTTGTTAATCTGTGACTGTTAAGTTTATATAATAAAAACTTACTTGCGTACAATGAGAATGCCAGTGATCAAATAACAAAAAAAAGTTGTAAGAGTACATGCGAGACCCATATTGTAGGTAGAGTAGTTTTTGTTATTCATTGATGTAGTGAAATTTCGATAATAGCCCAAAAACATAGGCTGAGTCGCTAACCAACCCTATAGAAACAGAGAACAAGTAAACTATGTCAGAGGAATTGGTCATTTTGTCTCGATTGTATTCTGTAAGGATATTATTATCTCGCTAAGAAAATGAGTATAACTTCATTTAGATAGCTTAGTTCATTTATGTGCTCAAACTATCATAGTGATTGATCTCATTCTTTAAGACTAGATATTCAATTTAATCAAAGAATGCTTCTATTCATACGAAGATCTGAGTGATCTTAACTTAAGACAGTTCATGACAGTTCATGCCATTTTTCAGTTCGAAAAATAATATTCCATTTGTCAATCTTTTATTAGTGAGATTTTTTTAAGAAGTACTCATGGTTAATTAAATATTGTTGTTATTGTTGTTATTGTTGTTGTTGTTTATTTGCAAAAGAGTTCAGTGCTAGCCAAATGGTTAATTAAATCTATTCTATAAGACGCAGACTTTTTTCTCCGCTTAAGTGCTAAAGCGCCCAAACAGTCTCACTAAACACGCAATTTTAGGTAGTCCACAAATAACTAATGACTTTTGAAAGCTAAACTTCTCTAACTGAAGTAGTGTTTCAAAGTCTCTTTATAATTTCTCAAAGTCTTTTATAATCAAAAGATCTAGAATTTTATTTTCCATAAAACTGTTTATTTGATTGCGAAACTAGTTGAGTCTCCTCGACATAACATTTAAAATATCAGAGTAGACCAATTTCCAAGACTTCCCTGCCTATTATGCAAGCACCATATTGCACAAGAAAAGTGCTATGAGTTAAAACAAAAGACATCTAATGAATTTTTCAAAAAATTCTGCATCTCTTCGTCATAATTTGAAAACGAGCTAAGCTCCCTCCCCTCGCCACAAGCCTAACTCTGAAAGTATAAGTCGAATCTTGATCAAACTTTTAGGAGATGCTGACCTTGTGAAAGTATGGTGACTAAATTTTTGATAAACAGGTAAAAATTGTCTTTTTTTGGTTTTCAAATTAAATTTTACGGTTTTTAAAGTTTTCAAATTTCGTATTTTTCAGTTTAAAAACCAAAAAAAGACAATTTTAAAAAACATTCTCGTTGTGGACTGCACAATTCGATTCTGAACAACTTTTGTACCCAGAGTTTTGCGAAACTAGCCGTAAGGTGAGGTGAAAAAGTCTTCGCTTAGCTAAAAACCAGCGATATTTTCAAGTTTTGCATTTTGTCTTCAAGTCTTCCCAGTTTGTAGAGGATACTTTGAAGTATATGTCCTGATGTTTTGTCGACTTACTGACACCATCTGGCTGAGAAAAAAATTAATTACTTAAAGAAATGTTGTTAAATTTTTGAGCACGGAGCTGTTATAAAAAAATTCTAATATATGCGTTAAATAAAAAAACTTTTAAGCTAGCCAGTCTTGTTGCCCGTGAAATTCTCTATCAGGTGAGATATTGCTTAAATGCTTTTGTTGAGTCCTTATTTTGCAAATGGGACTGTAAGCTAGTAGAGTAGGCTAAATTAACGTTAATTAGTGCTAATTAGTCAATAACAGGAAAGAAAGAACAAAAATTTTGATATATTTTCTCGTAGTAAATATTCTCCACATATTTCTCTATCGATCTAGGCAAGAACCAAGTTTTTATGATGAATGGAGAATGGACAGGACATTTTTAATAATAGTCCCTTGTTTAAAAACTTGTGGGTCATCTAGTAGCTTTCCAAAACAGTCACGAAGACTAACCGGTACACAGTGTAGTGTATCCAGTTGGACGGACGGTTGGTCTAAAGTACTAAGGTCATTACACGGCTTGATGGTGTCGGGGTTCGAACACAATACCTTCGACGTAAGCAACGAACAACATAACCACGAAGTCTTCTAACCAGAGCTGCAGTTGATGACTAGTATATGGTATGGGTGACTATTTCAGAATCGACTTATTTATCATGGGATTTGTTAGTCTCAAGATAAATTTATTAAAAATTTGTGACAACGGCGAATGGTTGAACAGTCATTTCTGAGTTCGTTTTTCTTTAAAAGAAAAATAAACTTACAAACGACCTTAACTATAGGAAAGATATAGGATTATTGAAACGAATACTTGTCGACATCCTACACTGGCTTATTTTTTCCTCTTATTTTATAAAAGCTGTCTTTTTTTGTTGACATTTTAGGAAAAATGCATGTTTTGATAGAATCATACAAAATGGAGAAATATCTATCTCATTTTAAAACACGGAGGTCATCTATCTTATGTAGGTTTGAAGTGATATTAAAAACTTTGGGTTTTATACGTACGGTTCCATCGATAAAATCAAGAATAGATTTCCATGTATCTCTCTGTGCGTCGATACTTGAATTTGCAAATGATTGCTCCGTTGCATATGAACAACATATACTAGCCGAAACTGGATGATCTAAACATTGGTCTGATTTCTCATTATTCGGTACACTTTTACAACAATCGCTACATGAACTATTGCTAATATCACATTGAACACTGAGTGCTTGTGAATAATTTAGAAAATATTCATTCGCTGGAGGATTATATTTTTTGGCTGCATAATTTATATAATTCTCAGAATGACGATAGGCATATGTAGGTAGAATAATGAATATTAAACACAACAGAAATGTAAATAGATTCAAATAGAATAGCCAAACAATAAATTGATAATAGGAACGAATTGTGTAACCATGTTTATCTTAAAAAACAGCAGAAAATATGCAGTAGTATATTTCTCTCCTCTGCTTCTCCGCCCCCATCCAGGTGGACATTAGGGAAAAGCAAAAATGTACTTTTTCCAGATTCAAATAGCGGAAAATGTACATTAGTATATGAGTTGTTTAATAGTATAAATGTTCCATGTGATAAAAAACTTGAGAAAATCCATCCTCAAACACTAACCTCAAAACACATGGACAAGAAGTAACAAAGTTCTACTATAAAATTTGATAAACTTCAATCCCAAAACGGCATAGATTCTTAATCTAAGTTTTCTCAGCTATTAATTAGCGAAAGAATTTTTTTTGTGCGTCTTAAAAGTTATGGAAAAATAAAGTAGTTTTTAAACTAGCAAAGTTTGTGAAAACATATCTTCAGTGCGGTGAGATTTCATACTTTCCCAAAACTTCAATCTCACTGAGAATTTGCACCTATATTCTGCATCGTCGTTTCTGGCTCTCGCCAAACCTTCTGATACTCATGAATTATTGATCAAAAACTAAAAGTTTTTATAATAAGATTTTTTTCTTGCAAACTTCTTTCAGATATAAAGAGTCATTCTAAGCCAAAACAACCATTTTTGATGATCAAAAACTTGATGTTTGGCTGTCTAGTGGAAAATGCTCACTATATCCTCCTGTTTCTGTCGATGAAAATACGTACATTCAATGAGATTCAAAAGAAAGCCAATTGGTGATGGTATACATGCTCGAAATTTGTCCCATTTTTGACTGACTGTCTCAGATGTCTAAACAAAACATAAATTATTTCATGCATCGTTCTTGTGTCTATCTTACTTTTTTAATATGATTTTCTCCAATGGGTGCAACGATTTTTGCCCTATAAAATAAACGAACTATTGTTGCTACTTAAACGACAAAAAAATTTTATTCTCATAATTTCTACCAATCTTTTCGATTCTTTGTTTTAGCAATTTTGATTAGTGGAGACTCTTCAATTTTATCATTTTCATCCTAGAAAAAAGTAAACTCAAGAAAAACTTGTAGCATACTGTTACAAATAGATACTACCTGTTGTAGTAATAATGTCGGTGGGACATATGGTAAAGATTCATCATTCTCATATGGTGTTAAATCAGATCGTTGGAGTGAGTCAAGTTCAATGTCCGATAGATTTTGAATATTTTTACGCGATTTCATTTTACTATTCTGGCTAGATGAATAATGATCAACTCTATTAATTCCACCATTTAACCTAGGCATCTATGTTCAGATCATATTATAATTTTTGACACGTTGTTAAAAAGAAGTTATTTTTTTTTTCTTTTTACATGAAATTTTTGTTAGTCGTTTCTTATCATAAATATACACACACGATGAGAGGAAGAGAAACAAAGCCGAGTCAATATTCTCTGAAAAAATATGTATGCTCGATTATATAGTCCTATTTTTATCGGTCAATTTATAAAAATAATGTGTGGAATTGCTCTCTCTACTTTGATCACGCTTTTCTTTACTTTTAGTATTTCGTAAAACTTAAAAGTCATTTATTTTAAAGAAAACTTTGAGTTTTCGGGATAGACGAGACTCAATGGTCATTTCATCCGTTTCCAATCACCAGTCATTTCCTGAATCTGTCTGCCTGCAGAAATGAGATTTTATTTTGAATGATTGCTGTGTGAACTGTGTAGAATGCTAGAAAAAGACTAAAGTATAAATTATAAAGTTTTTTTACTAATTGTGATCCTGGCATTGCTGAACACATTTTTCTCAGGTCTCAGGAAAGAGAAATAATTTGATTGCGAACATACGCATAGTAATCGCGGGAAAAATACTCGAAAAAGTCTTTCTTTGTGGAAAAAAATTATGATTCGATTCGTCATCATCTTCTGAATATTTTTACTTTATAAAAATTTGAAGGATCGGTTCAAGTTTGTCAGATAAAAAATGATGTTTTTAAACTTCAAGAAATTTTGAGAAACATCATTTCTGTTTACAAAATGCTAAAAATATAGAAAGACGTGATCAAATTAGAGCGAACGAACCCAATGTTCACTTAATCTTTTCTTTTGAAAAAGCGACATTAAAGTTAATTTTGTTTCCATAAAATATTTATTAGAGAATTAAGTTTACCTTTAAACTCAGTTGTGACGTTATTACTCATAATGAAAGTCTTTGTTGAATATATTCATAAACTGATTTTCTTCATTCATATTCGATTTCGACTCTCTTGGAGGAGACGTATATTTTTACTTTGATGATCGTATCAAAAAACTTCGTCAGTCAGTTACTAACATAGTTAAAGCGCCATATATGAAAGTTAGTCTTTAACAGACAATTAATGACTTGTAATTGGTAAGAGGGTAAAACTTGACAGACAATCAAATTGATTACAATGTAAAATTTTTATTTTTCAGCTGACTCATAGACTTCCGGATGGAATATTGATTTTTTTTGCTTTACTCAACATATCGATTTTTATATGAGTAAAAATGTACTTCTGATCACCAAAAAAAGATACTTTTGATCATCAAATTTTTTTCAACATACATCTCACATTTTCATTTTTCAACAAAGTATAATGTACAACACGAACATATTCATTGAGATTTTAACCAAATGAATAATAAAGCTGTGCTAACTTTCTTGGGACGCCCTTTTGCTTTTCGTTTGCCTAATGGTGAATATGTGTTTTATCGCTAACTTGACACAAGTTAAATAAAATTGCTAATCTAACAGAATGTTTACACGAATATACTAATAATGGTACAACAACCCAACGGGATTGTTGCTACACCAGAAAACTATTGAATATAAGCCATCGATGAGAACGATAAAGCCAATGATACATTCACATACATTCGTTCCCAAGAAAGTTAGCACAGCTTTACTATTCGTTTGGTTAAAATCTCAATGAATATGTTCGTGTTGTACATTATACTTTGTTGAGAAATAAACATGTGAGATGCATGCTGAAAAGAATTTGGTGATCAAAAGTATCTTTTTGTGTTGATCATTTGTATCTAAATATGTTTGGTGATCAAAAAAATTGATACCGTTTTTATATTGGATTGTCATATTCTCTTTTCTTGTATGATTAATAGTTCTCTTCTTTTGTTCCTTGTGCGAGATAATAAATAAAATATATTGACATAACATGTAGGTTATGGCAAGTAGAATTGAAATGATAACGATTTACAGTCACATGTGACTACATTCACTATTCATTAGAGAAGGATAATTAAAAAAAAAATCAGTGATTAAAGATTAATATTTAATGTAATATCGTACCGAATCACATCAGAATAAAGATATAAATTAATAAGAGTGATTTTCGGAAAATTTTTCAAAATTTTTGTTAATTTCACAAAATTAAAATGTCTCAAATACTAACTCAAAATTCTGAAAAAACTGCTCATATAATACTATGCCACTAATAGATATGCTACTACTATCCGTCCTAAAATACAAGGCAGGCGATTTCTTTTTGAATAACTTTTGATAGAAGCCAGCTAGAGAGCTTCGACTTTCGTCGTGACTTAGAGGCATCTTTTCATAAGCAAAAACTTTTTCAAAGGTGTTTTCTGGAATAGGTTTTCTAGAAGATCTTTGGAAATATATTGACAAAACTTTCCAATAGGATTGTATTGATCTTCCTCCATGGTCTGATAGCCCAAGGTATCCTCGTCAAAATGAGAGTCGAGCGAAACCTTGATTTTCCGCGACTCCGGTGTTGTGTCGGATTTTCTATGAGTCCCAGGACTGGCTCCCGGTGGCTATTGGTAGCTTTGAAAACGGATGGACTATAGGTAATCGATCATGCTGAGTCTCGTGGCAATAATTATTTCTAGAAAAAGTTCTAAAAATCTACC